GTTTTGTTCATTTTTTAGACCTGGTGGCTCGCACGAGACGACACCAAAATGATATCCTCGCAGCCCATCCCTCCTGATCTGAACCGAGACCAAACTGGCGCCCAGTTGGTCCAGCAGTTCCAGACACAGGAGAACCAGAACTTTCCCTTTGCTATACACTATGACGGGCTGTACCGTCTTGTAGATGAAGACGGAGATGGATCACAGACGGCTAGATTGACCCTTGCATTCCGATAACTATTCTCTGAAAAAACTAAGCATCCGAAAAAATCTGCAAAAACCGTCTTAAACCAAAATCTAGAATCTAAATTACAATCAAAAAGAGCAGTAATACTAAATTTTTGTAGAAAAAAAAAACAAAAAAAGAAGCAAATTTTATGACGAGGGGCTAGGTGGGGCTAGGTAGGCTAAGTACAATTGTGTCATTAACTTCCTTCAATTTCGAAATTTGGACTTTTAGGAACGCAAAGTGGTTCTCCTTCTTTTTATTTTGAAAGATTTCGCCAACTTTTCCCACGCGCGTGTTTAAGGGTCTTTTAAATTATTATTTGAAAGGTCAAAAAGCCAACAAAATTTTTCAAGAGACCAAAAATGAGTGAAAAATTTAACAAAACGAAGTCGTTTCGTTTCAGTTTAAAAATCTTCCACTTCGCCTCGCTATTTTTGCCCCATAGAAACCAAATAGATGTTGCGAACTTCACAAATAAACTTCACAAACAAACTGCGCACAAAATTAACTTTAATTTTTCAACTAAATGCAATGCATTTTAATAAGCTGAGTGTATAGTTTATAAAATATATATCAATTGCTGTGATTGTAAAATTGACACTGTTCAGAGGGCGGATTTTGTAGGAACTCTATGAAAAATTGGAGAAATTATGTTAAATATCCACCCATTAATTTCATATCTACTCCGCTTTCTGGGTGAATTTAGAATTTGAGCGTGTGCAATATCTGTTAATATCAAATTCATTTTCCTCTTTTTTTTTGACGATGAGTCACAAGTGCTTTTACTTGGGAAGATTCTCTAGCTAATGCAAGGGGGGTGGATTATGGAAGTAGATGTTAACTAGGTCCTAAATAAAATCTGGATCTTCTTAACTACACTCTGAAGCCCACGTGTATGCATAGGTCTTCCCTCATCATATTTAGAGAAAAAAACTAACTATGATATCTAATCTACTAAAGAATTTTTAAATATCCATGCCTATACTATAAATAGATGCAGTAGATTTTAGGACTAGAGCTTTTTTGTGTTGAAAGCTAGAGCGTTTTTGACTTAAAATGAAAAGCAGACTATCTTTAAGAAGAAAAAAAGCTCAAAAATAGTGCATTTGTATGAAGCATTCAAGTTGCAAATAACCGAATAGTTTCTCAGGTGCTTTTTTCTGTTAAAAAGCACCTGAGATAACACCCTAAAATCATAATTTTTTAATGTTTAAGTTTGGATAACTGAAGATAATTGAAGTTCGAAAAAAACCCGAAATGGGTCCAGACGGTCGAAACATATCTTGCATGGGTCGAGCATGGTTGAGCACATTATTTTTGGTCGAGCACGGTTCGAACATATTTTCCCGGGTCGAGATCGGGACTTACGCTGCGACGATTTTTGTTCAAAATTTGCTATTTGCATGTATATTGCGCATATGAAAGCAAAATATCTGCCAACAATTCCATTACCAAAATTGATCGCAACTTTTTATAATGCTAGACCCATGTTGCATTTTGCGCGACCCATGTTGCGACTTTGAACGGTTTCTGTTGTGACTTTGCGCGACCTAAGTTGCGACTTTGCGCGACCTAAGTTGCGACTTTGCGCGATTCATGTTGCAACTATGAGCGACCCATGTTGCGACTTTGCGCGACTCTTATTGCGATTTTGTGCGACCCAGGTTGCGATGTTCCGCGCCTTGTATTGCGACTATGCGCGACCCATTTTGCAACTTTGCGCGACCCATGTTGCGACTTTACGCGACTCATGTTGCGACTTTGGCGACCCATGGCTGCGACTTTGCGCGACCCATTTTTAGCTATGTTCCGCTTTTGCGCGACCCATATTTGTACTTTGCGAGTCTCAAGCCTCTTGCAGGAATCTTGAGTTTTGGTCGCAGAAAGTCCAATTTAACGACCCACTTCGGTCGCAACATTCGGTCGCAGCTTGAATCGGTTGCAACGTGTTGCAATTTGATCGCATCATGTTGCAATCCGGTCGCAACATGAGTCGCGGACCTCGAACCGGGTTGCTTGGCTCGAGCAAAGTCGAGCACATTTTTCTGGTCGAGCATGTTCGAATTAAACCCATTTTCGGTCGAGATGGTCGAAATATATCGAGTTTACGTCGAGACGGTCGAAACATACTGCATACTGTGAGAACATCGACCCAGAACTCACCAACGACTGTAACAATTGCACAGAGTTTCAATGGTCGTCGGTTATTCCCTTTTCACTCGGTCATCCGGCCGGATTGGCATCAAGATCGTGATGTACATATAAACATATTTATAACTATTTATTACCTTCATAACTCAGAACATACGGCCAGTCCCTTTTGCTAAGTGCACAATATGTGCAGAACTGAGAAAAGATATTATGTTTCAGACAACTTCTGTTTTCTTATTGAGTTATCACCTTATTCGCCAATCCGTACGGATTCAGAAATGATCATACAACACTGTATGACATGGCGCAGTCAGCAGGATACAAAAACCCGCTGACCATCCCACCATTCTGGCTTAAGTCAACGGCTGAACCACCGCTGGAACGGACAAAATGGACAGCCATGATGGAGATGGCCATCCTGGCTAAAGACGGTATAGACGTGTGAGCTCTACTTTGTGCAAAATCACCAAATCTAGAACCAACGGAACCAATTTACGAGCTGGAAATTAACGGTGAAACCGAGGTGGAAAAACGGAAACGAGATATACGAAACCAGGAGTAAAAGGTCAACTGGGAAAATTTAACAACAAGAGTTCAAGAAAATATTTCTTCCTGTGTTCAGGGCGGAAGGCCAAAGGCAGCTACAACAAAAGCGCCTACGACTTGATATACATACAATATCAACTAAAGAGTAGATCCAGATACTGGAAAACATTTTCTCACATTTTCGAAAGATATAGTTTCATCTGCAGATATAGTTTCATCTCAAGGGAAAAATTAATCATTACAACATTTCAGTTCCATGCGGATTTAGGAGAATAAGGGGCACGGGCCAATTACGGTGACAGAGAAGAAGAAAGGGTCCGCGACATGTTCACGGCCCATATGACAAATGAGAAAAACGCCGAAGAATTACTAACAGAAACGAGGTCGCCACAAAGTGCCTACAGATATGCGATAAGAAGAGCAAAATGGATAGAACACAGTAGGAACCTGAAGACCAGGACCAGTCCATTCGGTCCAACAAGCTCACCGACATTTAAGCAAGATCCCATGGGATACATATAACCAGGTGGAACAGGAGCTTCAGGCGGGTATCCAAACAAAAATTGGGTCCGAGGTTTCGGCAGAGGCCGCAAAAATTTCCCAAGAGAAGAAGAAGAAGAAAAACATTCTTTAAATAAGTTAGAAATGTTTGGGGTCGTATGGGCAAACAAACACTTCAAATGTTACTGGTACGAGAAACTTTTTACTGTCATTACCGACCATCAAGCTTTAATCAGTGCATTCAACGCGAGCGAAAGATCAAAATTTAACCAAGGTAGACTGACTTGTTGGACCGATCATTTGATACCTTTTAGTTTTGGTATCAAACATTTGGCAGGATCAAAAATGGGACTAAACTACATGTCGCGAAAACAGTAGGATTAGCAATGAGTAGTAAACCAGTGAATACGATGAAGAATTTGTAGTTGCATCAATTTTCTCAATCCTTGCAAATCTCGAATTGATCGACAACGTCATTCTCCATACGCTAGTCAATCAGAATCAAGCACCATATCTGCTGATCAAAACACGCCTGGAAAATGAAGGGAAATCAAGCACTCACTTTAAACGAAAAGCATATTTCAAACACTCGATCACGGTCACCAAATTTTAAGCAAAAACAATCATTCGATCACTTATTCTTCTAGAAATCAGCACTCCAAAAACAAACTTGAACAGACAATAAATCTCCTAAACTTTTCTAACGAAATCATGAGCCAGAGACTGGAAATTAAAAGTTTTAAAGGAGGCTTCATACCCGGTTCGCCACGAGCTACAGTCAGCGGAAAAGGCACAAACGGACGTCACTCCGACATTAATTGGAAAACAGAATCGGATCGAGAGGAATATCGAAATTTATCGCACTTACGTCGAGACTGTCGAAACATACTGTGAGAACATCGACCCGGAACTCAACGACGACTGTAACAATTGCACAGAGTTTCTTTGGTCAACGGTTTTTCACTTTTCACTCAGTCCTCCGGCCGGGTTGGCATCATGATAGTATTGTACATATAAACAACTTATAACTACTTATACAATTCTTACCACAGGTCAACTGCCCTTGAGAACTATTAGAACATGAGAACTAGTAGCTAAGAGCAGAACATGTGCACAACTGAGAAAAGAGATTATGTTTCAGATAACTTTTGCTTTCGTATTGAGTTATCACCTTATTCGCCAATCCGTACAGATTCAGTATTGACCATACAACACTGTATGACATGGCGCAGTCAGCAGGATTTAAAACCCGCTAACCAACTCACCACTCTGGCTGAAGGCGACGGCGGAACCAACGATGAAATGGTCAAAATGGACAGCCATGATGGCTAAAGACGGTATAGACGTGCGACCTCTACCTCGTGCAA